CTGTCTCATTTCACGCTTGGGTTTATATATATTACGTGCATTATGAAATTACTATCAGATGCAGGGAGGTTTTTTAATAAAGAAAATAGGGAAGTCATTAAAATGTAGTTGTAAAATCACCCATGCATATTATTGGTGAAATATTGATGGTTAAGTTAGGATAAGAATTCAGATTTACATCTTGTATCTATTCATTTAATAATTAATCAGTAACTTATGTGTTTTATTTTTTATAAAATATCAAATGCGATCATGATTTATATTTGTAAAAATATAAATTTTCTTTTTCATCTATATATGCATAATATTTAATTTCTACATATTTATGTAGCAACCGTACCTATATACATATTTTATCGTTTTGAAAATAGTATTTCAACTTACCAGATTGTTACATCAACAACTAAAACTTTAGCCTTATAAATAATTCCGCATACGCCTCAACGTATCGCATTTAAAAATGCATATTTATTAATATGCAATAAGATCCGCGCTCAGTTTTACGAACCGGAAATACATATATTACATAGTATTTCCTTTGTATATCGATGATTTTATGCTAACAGTAGTATATGTAGTAACATTAATAAAGATCTTCTAAAACTCTACCTGTAAATGTAGTAGTTTTTATGTTTATATTTTTATTTCCTTAAAAAGAGAGAGAGAGGGTATTTGACCATTTTTTAATTCTGTTTGTCTATTGTGATAAAGAAATCACAAAACGTGTTAGTTAAGATAACGAATTTCAGGGACCTGATCAAGACGAGAAGCTCAGAAAGCTTCAGAATGAAAAGGACAATCTTCACCTTCAAGTACAAGTATTAAACGAACAAATTGAAGCACAAACCGAAAAAATTTCTGAATTGGAAAAGTCTCTATCAGAACGAAAACAACAACTATTGAGTACAGAAGATTTGTTGCAAAGGGTTTGTAAAAAAACTATGAAATTCCTAAAACAACAAAACAATGAAATCATTGTCCGCAGGAAATGTTATCCAGGTCTTCATTAGAAACACAAAAGCTAGAATTAATGTCAACTATAAGCGAATTAAAGCTCCAAAACGCGGAGCTTGAGAAGGATATAATGGATTTGAAATCTAATTTTAGTAATAGTGGGAGTATTACTAAGCCACCCTTGAGACCGCGAATCTCACCCCAACCACAGCATTCTACCCCTATTTATCACGGAAGCAATCAGGTGATTTTACATCTAAATCTCCCGAAGATAATAATCGGAACAATAGGAATAGCAAATAAAATTCTGATTTTTTATAGGCACTAAATTTCCGGTCATCCCCCTCCCCTAGTCCGTTAATAAACTCTTTATCCAACAATTCATCTTTAAAAACCGACGGATTGTCCTTGCAACACGATACGCAGCAGCCTAAGGTAATCCACCTGTGAATTATCAGAAAACATTCCACATTCATATGCATTTTAATCCAAAATTAGAATTTGTATGATACTGATTATTTGGGAACATTTTGCATACCTTTGTACTCGCAAATTAGTTCCCTTTTTTACTTCAGACTCCACCTGCTAACTTTCGGAGACAAATCGATGTCCATTACGGAAGTTTACCTCGACAGCAGTTCATAAGCAACGGACAATTGGAAGTGGATTCTAACGCTAATCCAGCCGGAGAAGTTAAAAAGGGCGTAGCCTTCGGTAGGGGGTTTACCTCACTGCTAGGGGGTCAGGCCAGGGGCCACTCGGTCCCAAACCTAGGTGATAGCTCGAATCTTAGCATGTGCCGTGCTATAACGAGCTTCATACTAACCCCTTTATTATAATTATTATTGTCATCGTATTTATAAGCTTATTAATTTAGTTGTTTATTTTTCCCCTATTCGTACGAAAATCATCTTAAACGTACGTACATCCATCCCCATTTAAATTATTGTTGTGAACGTTTACATAAATGCTATTTCAGTTTTACTATAAAATAATAGAACCGTATACAGGGTATTTCTAACGGACTTTTTAATAATTTTTTAAATTAATTTCTAAATTAAAAACGTAACCGTGCATGAAGAGCTTATATATACATCATAATATTTAGACATTGTCTGCTAAACTAACAAGGAATGATGATGACAATTACAACAAAACATGTTTTGTTACAAGCAATTCATTTTTTAATGACTTATTAGGAACACCCTGTGCAGTCTACAAAAAAAGTAGTTTTTGTCAAACTCATTTCTTTAAACCTGTAAACTATTTGCGATTTTTTTGAGTTTCTTCATCTAGATTTATTAAAACATTTCGATAATTCTCCGAGATGAAAAAATCAAAATTAATACAATGTGTTTATTTTTTGATTAGCTGAAACCCAAAAAATTATCATAGATGATACAATCGATAATCAGCCGGTATCGCCTACCATGCAAGGTAATAAAACGAAGGGTATTAAAAAGATATTTGGCAGGGTAAAGCGATCAGGATCTGGAAATCTGGAGGATTTCCCAGGAGCCGTGGAATTTCAACGAGGAGGAGTTCGAGCAACTGCAGCAGCTCGATTGGGTTGGAGTGAACCACAAATGTCTCCAAAGTGAGTATTATGAGGGGATGAAATTTATCTGCTTGTTGGTCCAAAATAAAATCTAACATCACACGTCGGGTTTTGAAAATTCTTTTTTCATAAGAAAATCTATAACTGTTGACTTACAGGAGCGAAACAGGGATAAGAAAAATAGACGAACATACTGTAAAACACTGAACAACTGTTTGAGGTGTAATCTGGGTCTGTGCATTTACCATTTGACTCTGTAAAGAGGGAGGGGTAAAATAGCTTTTCTAAATCATATGGAGGGGTGGGAGTTGATACCTGAACAACTTGGTTTTTGTCTTTTACCTACAATCAACAGTTCAGGGATCAAAAAGTGACTTAAATAAAGTCTTATGATTATGCACAGCCACTAAAGGGAGATAGTAATTTACAACGTGCATTAGATGTAAAAGATAAACATTCCTTGGCGTTCTATTAATAAACTTCTGGAACGATAGGAAACGTTTCTAATAATGAATTTATACAAAGTTACTTTCACGTTATGATAAATAATGATAATAAAGACGAATAGAAAATCTCAAAAACTATTTAAACTCAATTAAAATTGTTGAGAAGTAATTGAAACTAGTCTTATCGATTTTCTCGAATCTAAAAGTTCTATTGCGGCTTTTCGGAAAAGTAATCTAGCTATAAACGCCGCGCCAAAGGGTCACAGATCCTCCGACACAAAATTTATGAAAGTTTTGATACATAATTGTACTCTGAGGCTATGTAGTTGTAGATTAGTAAAACTCCTTTCCTGCACTGTAATCTTTAAATTGCTTTTAGAAAAGTAATATGAACTAAAGGATGTAAACAGAAGCAGCAACTTGATAGAATCAAAATTTATTCCATCCCTAATAAAAACTAGGCGCTTTTCAAACCTTATTTTGACCTTAAGACAATAAGGCTATACTTTTAAGAGTGGTTAATTCATTCTGCTGAAGTAATATTTATAACAAAAAACATACGAGTGAACTACTGAATTGTGCACTTTTGAGAGTTGAAAATCACTATTATATAAATATTTTTCAAAAAATTACAAATTATTACAACACTCACAGTCAGTTATCATACGATTTCAATGTAAATTTTATGTTTAACTATTATTTTACAATGCGATGACATTATTATGTGTTTTAAGACCCGATATTCCGTTTTCGGAATGGACGACAGACAATATTTGCGATTGGTTACAAGACTTGGGTCTCGACCAATATATACCTGAAGCCAAAAAAGTGATCAAAAACGGTCAGCAATTACAAGAGATGTCTATACACGATATCGAAAAGGAATTGAACGTTAAAAATCCATTGCACAGAAAGAAACTTCAGCTTGCAATCATTGACACTCAGGAGAATAATTCGAGCGATCCATATTTAACGAAAGCGGGAAAATTGGACACTGCGTGGGTCTTGAGATGGTTGGACGATACGGGATTACCTCAACACAAAGAAGCATTCCTAATAAATCGGGTTGATGGAAGGGTGCTTCATCGTCTCACTACAGACGATCTAATGCTTATGCATGTTACGTCTATGTTACATGTGAGCAGTTTAAAGAGGGGCATTCAAGTTCTAAGAGAAAATAACTTTGAACCAGGATGCTTGCAAAGGAGATCTTTACCAGATGATCCCCCACATCCTACATCCAAAATGGTTTGTCTCTGGACTTCTCACAGGTAAACGCAATAAAAGAGACTTAAAATGATCTGGAATCCAAGATGATATTCAGTATCAAAAATTAAATTAAAGGGAACGGATTCCAGTAAAAATTTGGTTTTTCTTTTAGGGTAATGGAATGGCTGAGAGCAGTCGATCTGGCAGAATATGCACCAAATTTAAGAGGAGCAGGAGTGCATGGAGGTTTAATGGTTCTAGAGACCAAATTTACTTCCGAACTACTAGCCACATTACTTAATATTCCTCCTGGGAAAACACTGCTCAGAAGACATTTAAACACGCACTTCAAGGAATTATTGGGAAAGGACATCATTCAAGCGAAAAGAGAAGCTGAAGCTACTCTAGGGTACATACCGTTGACGCCATCAGCTAAACTGAAAGTAGGGATAGGGATTTAATGGTTTGCTTATATCATGACTAATATATTTATTTTTCTAGATGGCCAAGAAATCTCAGTTTTCTTTAAAAAGAAAAAAGAGCAAAGGTGAAGTGGACTACGGAGATCTTGTTTGTCCCTTGAACCCCAACAGTCAGTCAGGTGAACACAGCGAAAGTGCTATTAGCAGTTTAGGGGGTGTAAGTTGACTAACCTCTAACTTTCTAACACGAGTTCATTTTTTGTTGTAGTTGTATAAACAATGTATATGACTTACAATATTATCTTAATTAAAAAATCTACATCAAGGAATGATCCTCAGTTTAACAGAAATAAATTCCCAGTGTTCAATAGTAGAAAAATTAGAAGTTACTGCAAAAATTATTGAACGCTAGGATTTCTTTTCAGTTTTGATAACAAATGGTGAGAGAGAGAATATCAGTTTTAATACTTTTTGTTTCATGCCCATTCCGGATATAGGTACCCCAAATACTAATCATTGAATGCTAAGAGCACATCAGGTAGTTTGCAAAATTATCGTAATTGGTTGATTATGCTATGAATTAAATAGTTATAGATTAGTGCGACGTTTTTGTAATTTCAGAATTGTTATGTCCAATGACCAACTGGGTGGTTATTTAACAGCAAATCGTTATAAAGCAGACACTAATAGATATTTATTACATATTATATATAACATTCGTTAATGTAAACAAATCGATAATGTGTCGGTTTACACTATCGAGTGTTTACTGCAGTTTACCCAATAAGGTGGGGTATGATACTAAAATAAGGAATTCATTTAAGTTAGCAACATCTTCGAACTAATATTTATACCTTCTCCAGTTGGTTTTTCCAAGTAGTTTAGACTTAAATAGTTATTTTCACGATTATTAGATTTAGCGTTTTGAGTGTAGTTTAATAATCGTGTTAAGATTAGTTAAAATTTAGATTTGCTTGCATATGATTTATAATTTACTAACTATCTATTTTTCTAAACTACCATCCTCATACTATTTAAAGTTAATAAAAATTAAAAATTATGCATGTACTAAAGTAAATAGAGAATATAAACAGAAATAATATTAATTAATTCATTNAGGAACTAAATTATTTAGCAAAAATGATTTAATAAAACTAAGGTATTGGTTGTTGATGACTATGTAAGGTATGGTACAGATTAATTCTTTTGTAGAGAAGAAGTAAGACAAATGTTTCAACATGCATACAATAGCTACTTAAAATATGCATACCCTTATGATGAATTGCGCCCTTTAAGTTGTGATGGTATAGATACTTGGGGAAGGTAAGATAAAATAAATTTCTACTTTAGCATGCTAATTAAATAATTTTTAGTTATTCTCTAACATTAATTGATGCACTGGATACATTAGTTATTATGGGAAATTATTCTGAATTTCAGAGAGTAGTCAATATTTTAACCACCAAAGAAAATTTTGATGCTAACATAAATGTTTCTGTATTTGAAACAAACATCCGAATTATAGGAGGACTGCTGAGTGCACATTTATTATCAAATAAGTAAGTTGAAATTATAATACAAAAGAAAATAATGTGAATTGTTTACATTTAAGAGCAGGGATTGAAACTGAACCTGGCTGGCCATGTAATGGACCTCTGCTTCGATTAGCAGAGGATGTTGCCAAAAGAGTTATTGCAGCTTTTGATACAAAGACGGGTATGCCATATGGCACAGTAAATTTAAGACATGGAGTGCCCCCAGGGGAAACAACAGTTACATGTACAGCTGGTATTGGTACTTTTATTTTAGAGTTTGGAGCACTAAGTAGATTGACGGGAGACCCAATATATGAAGAAGTAAGGAACACATATTTGATTTTATTAAATGTACAATGATTACTCTTCTGGGTGTTTCAGGTGGCTTTAAATGCCCTTTACGCTCTTTATAATCATAAATCTGCAATAGGACTGTATGGGAACCACATTGATATAGCTACAGGGCGATGGATTGGATTGGATGCTGGAATTGGTGCAGGTGTTGATTCTTATTTCGAGTATTTGGTAAAAGGTGCTATTTTGCTTCAGAAACCGGAACTTATGAAAATATTTAAAGAAGCCAGGGTAGCAATTGACAAATATTTAAAAAAAGATGATTGGTATTTGTGGGTTTCAATGAACAAGGGGCAAATAACTATACCTGTTTTTCAATCATTAGATGCCTTTTGGCCAGGGTTACTGAGTATGATAGGTAAATGGAAGTTATCCTTTTTTTAATAAAAAGGATTGTCTTAATATTGTGTATATTAATTCTTTATATATGTAATTTCTTTCTTATTATGCAATAGTAACCATTTTTATACGATGCTCTCAACTTCCAGTAAGTACCTACATACACCTTTATATACAGTTTGAGAAAAAGGGATTTTAGTACTTACGAAACTTGAGGAATTAACTTTTAATATTAATTGAACAATAATCTGAGCGTACAGTTTGCATGTGGAAAAACCAATGCAGTAATTAGTAGTAAAAGAAACCCCTGTACCTAACCGAATTTATAAAATTACTGTGACTATGTAAAGTCTTCCCTAATTGCCTTAACTACCAAAAACTGTAGTATTAAATAGTGTAGTAGTCGAATCATTAACTATTGTTATATTATAGATAGTATTATTCAGGTGCAGATGACTTATTGCATTTTTATCGAATTGTTTGGAATGTACGTAGGTTTTCTGGAATTGCGGAAAAAGGGAACAATTTTTAAAATATTGACACCAGTTGTCTTGAGTACACTTGAGTGAACTTTTTGGTGATTTAAAAAAATCTAAATTCTGCACACTTATGTACACGTTAAAAGAATTGTAAAATTGAGATTTCTGTAAACTTCATATGAAAAATATTTAACATACCATTAGAAGTTAGAATACTAATTGTATTAAAAACAGTATTGAAAAAAAATTAATAACAGACTCTACCGAGTGTATGCGCAGTATATTATAGATTTGTAAGTAGCATCACTAAAACCTTATGAAATTTTTTGTTTCATATGCCATGTATCCATGTGAATAAAGTTACTTATTAACTACACACGTTGTTTCTTTTGGATTTCGTTTTTTTTTGAGTATATAAGAATTTACATATTTGGTATGGGACAATGTAAAAATGATTGCAAAAGTTTAGTATGAGAGAAAAACGAAAAAGTTAAAACTGAATTAGTGGCTACAGAAAAAAATGTCAAGAATTATCTTTGCTATATTTTATTTAATAAATTATGAATCACAGAACTCTAAAAAGTAAAAATATTATTGAAATTAAATTATATTATCAAGTAACATGTTTAAATTGTAGACATAATTTCACTTAAATGGTTTATTGCTCAATAATCTTATTATTCAACATCCTCTGGTCTTACAGGATGTGATAATGGTATAACCGACTTTTGTTTTACATCCCTAGAAAGTGCTTTTCTCATATCTAAAACATTTAATGTTGTTCTTTTATTGAATAAACTATAGGGTGAATTTAAAACTAACCATAAGCATTTTCATCTGGATCCCCTGAATAATACTCTAAAACTGTTCTATAAACAATATAACCCAAATTTGTATACATATTAATAGCCACTTTGTTGCTCACCCTTACAAATAAATCTACAAAATACGCCCTTTTCCTGAAAAAGATATCTATAATTCAAACTCTTATTATAGCAACTGTTTACTTTTCTGAAACATCCTCCAAACAATTCATAAGGGTTGCTGCTAAACCAAGACGTCGATATTCTAAAGAAACTGTTAGAGCTGTAACATGACCATGCCAGTTTTCACCATGACCCTCAGCCTTACCCATAACTAACAAGATTATTTTAAATGAAGGTCCTGTGCAAGAATGCTGTTGAATACTTACTGTAGCCCATTATTTCACCACTGGGAGATTCTGCTACTGTAAAATACTCTGGCCAATGTGCAAGATATTGCATATAAAATGATAAACCGTAAGTTTCGGTTAAAGGATCTAAATTGCTGTAGTGAAAAGTGTTACAATTTATGTATTTACATTTATGAATTAGATGTTTACTTACACGTTGTTAAATTTATATAAATCGTTACATGTAAAAGGGCGTAGTGTAGTCATTTTTTTATTGCAATTGCAGGAAAATATAAATATTTTCAGGCGTTTTGTGAAGTTGTTTATCAAAATAACTTTTAGGTTAAAAATACATAACCTAATATTACCAACCATAGATAATTTATGAACGCTCAAAATAGTGTCTTTTGTCCCCAACAGCCGTATAATACAATAATTCACTAATTAAATAAGAAAAAATTCGAAATGAAATCAGAAATGGAAGTAGGATAATTAAAATTTCTACCTGATTCAAAGTTTTCGTTATATCATTGTAAGGCTTATTATTCAATGGAAACCTTATCTGTGATCAAAACTGACGTATTGAAAATCAAAATGATCAAAACAATAAATTTTAGGTTAAGTAGTTAAGTGGATTTTACTAATTATAATTTATAAAAGTTATTAATGATTATTATTATACCCTAAAGTATACGTAATTACTTCACTTTAATAATATATTGTGATAATAGAATTTTATGTAAAATGTTATAAATTTTATTTTTAAAGATGAACTTTTATGGTGTTTTTAAAGGCTTGTATATTTTTATCATTTGTATTGGAGATTTTGTACAAGGAACTAAATTATTTAGCAAAAATGATTTAATAAAACTAAGGTATTGGTTGTTGATGACTATGTAAGGTATGGTACAGATTAATTCTTTTGTAGAGAAGAAGTAAGACAAATGTTTCAACATGCATACAATAGCTACTTAAAATATGCATACCCTTATGATGAATTGCGCCCTTTAAGTTGTGATGGTATAGATACTTGGGGAAGGTAAGATAAAATAAATTTCTACTTTAGCATGCTAATTAAATAATTTTTAGTTATTCTCTAACATTAATTGATGCACTGGATACATTAGTTATTATGGGAAATTATTCTGAATTTCAGAGAGTAGTCAATATTTTAACCACCAAAGAAAATTTTGATGCTAACATAAATGTTTCTGTATTTGAAACAAACATCCGAATTATAGGAGGACTGCTGAGTGCACATTTATTATCAAATAAGTAAGTTGAAATTATAATACAAAAGAAAATAATGTGAATTGTTTACATTTAAGAGCAGGGATTGAAACTGAACCTGGCTGGCCATGTAATGGACCTCTGCTTCGATTAGCAGAGGATGTTGCCAAAAGAGTTATTGCAGCTTTTGATACAAAGACGGGTATGCCATATGGCACAGTAAATTTAAGACATGGAGTGCCCCCAGGGGAAACAACAGTTACATGTACAGCTGGTATTGGTACTTTTATTTTAGAGTTTGGAGCACTAAGTAGATTGACGGGAGACCCAATATATGAAGAAGTAAGGAACACATATTTGATTTTATTAAATGTACAATGATTACTCTTCTGGGTGTTTCAGGTGGCTTTAAATGCCCTTTACGCTCTTTATAATCATAAATCTGCAATAGGACTGTATGGGAACCACATTGATATAGCTACAGGGCGATGGATTGGATTGGATGCTGGAATTGGTGCAGGTGTTGATTCTTATTTCGAGTATTTGGTAAAAGGTGCTATTTTGCTTCAGAAACCGGAACTTATGAAAATATTTAAAGAAGCCAGGGTAGCAATTGACAAATATTTAAAAAAAGATGATTGGTATTTGTGGGTTTCAATGAACAAGGGGCAAATAACTATACCTGTTTTTCAATCATTAGATGCCTTTTGGCCAGGGTTACTGAGTATGATAGGTAAATGGAAGTTATCCTTTTTTTTGGGATCTTTAATCTCATGAGGATCATTCTTAAAGGTGATACTGAGTCGGCAATGAGAACTCTACACAATTATCATCAAGTGTGGGTACAGTATGGATTTACCCCAGAATTTTACAATATAATCCAAACAGAAGCAGGGACGAACAGGGAACATTATCCCTTAAGACCTGAGTTGATTGAATCTATTATGTATCTATACAGGGCTACTGGAGACCCTTATCTACTTCAAATGGGAGTTGACATACTCAGAAGTATACAACACAGTGCAAAAACACCCTGTGGATATGCAACGGTGAATTTTTTTAAAAGAAATATAAGTGTACTCTAAAAATACAAACTGTTTTTCCTTGTTTCAGATTAAAGATGTTAGAGATCATAGAAAAGAGGATAGGATGGAATCGTTTTTCTTGGCAGAGACAACCAAATATCTCTACCTTCTTTTTGATCCTGATAATTTTATACATAACCAAGGTCAACATGGAACATTAATTAATACACCTAATGGTGAATGTGTAATCAATGCGGGTGGTTACATTTTCAATACTGAAGCTCACCCTATCGACCCAAGTGCCCTTCATTGCTGCTACAACATGCCAAGGCTAAAGCTATTCAACGTCAGTGAACTCAACGCAAAAAGTAAACTTTTTAAAGGAGAAAATCGAAAAAACAATGTGAGAAAAAAGACAAACGGAACTGAAGAAGCAAAAAGCGAAATGAAAAGTCAACATCAGGAAAAGAACAATCAAGAACATCTTGCTGTGGGGCAAATAAATTTAGAATTCGTCGAGGGTTTTGATTTCGTTATGAAAAATGAAAACATGGAAGAGGGGATTATCGAAGTTAAGTTTGTGAATGAGTCAAATGAGACAGTTGTTTTGAAGGAATACTTGAAACAAATATTTTATGAAAATAAAAGTTTAAATGAAGGTATATTTAAAAGTGTACCCGAGAAACATAATTATATAGTCAATATCACTGGTCAAAACGATTATAGTTTATTAACTTGTAAAGCCCAACCTTTCCTTCATAGATTGGCAGTTTTAGGGGAACTATTTAATGGGAAAGATGTGTACTAGACTTTGTTGACTTATTATTTTAATAATATAAATGTTATTTATTTGATTAAAAATGTGTTTTATTTCAAAAAAGTTATAAATAATAATTGCTATTCCTGAATTAAAATTAAAGCAGTACTTTGGGCGAAATTTGACAAATTGTGTTAATTTATGTTACATAAACGAAAGTAAAAGGACATAAACCCAGGCACCTTTCTTTTGTTACCACTTACGACTATAATACAGGGTGGCCCAAAAAGTAGACAATGTGCTCAATCTGTCCAAACCATAAATTTAATCGAAAAAGTTTATTTAAGTACCAGGTCGTCTGTGGTAAATAAATTTGATTTACTATACAGAGTGTTTAAAAATAGAAATAGTTTTTTTTAACTTAAATATGGGTCCAATCGAAAAAAGTTATAGGAAAAAGTTGTTCAAAATGCCAAAATATGCAGCTATGAAAACAATCACGGTCATATTCAACTGTTTTTTTTTTTGAATTGCTTCAAAAAGTTGGCAATATGCCGATTGTGATCAAACCATAAGTTTTTTTCAAATAATTTCCCTAGTTTATTATAAGATAGCGTGTAACATCTAAATTTGATTTATTATACAGTGTGTTCAAAAAACAGAAAGGTTTCGTTTCGCTACGTGCTGTAGTATCTAAATTTGATTTACTATACAGTGTTCAGAAAACAAAAAGGGTTTCGTTTAAATGACAGTATAGTTAAATGGGGGTTTAGTGGAAAAGAGAATTTGTTCAAAATGCCAAAGTATGGGGCCATACAAAAAATCGCGATGACATTCAAATGTTTTTTGTTCGGTTCAAACGATCCAAAAATTTGATTTGATAGATGTAGGTACATTTTGAAGAAACAATTACCTTTCCTTTTAAGCTGAATTTGATTTCTATAACTCAATATTAAATTTTATGCTTAATTCCGGAAATAAATTTAAAATAAAACCTTATTATAACTTTGCAAACTTCCAGTTTGAGCATAATGTGCATATTGCGCACCTTTCCAACCACCCTGTATATTCACGGTACTTGTGAAATATTCGTCTACGAGAACTCGAACATTTTCGACTCAAAATTTACAGGCTCGCCTGATCATACACGCGTTAAATTAGACGTGCGACTAGTCGTTCCGCACTCTTTTTATTATTTATTTTTATTTTAATTTACCTATGCAAATATTATATCCCATTTGTTGTTATACGTATATTAAAATTGAAGAAGAAAATACTGAAAGGAGAACAAACGTAAATTGCTAATTCACTATTGTAGATTATTTACAGAGATAATGTAAAAAGAACGATAAGCATAAAATCAAAGTTTGTTGAATTTACAACAATTAATTTTATTACATTTTAAACTGTTTCGAAGTAGAAATTATTATACTTGTAGGTATGGAGAATACTAATTTTTTGTTTCATTTCTCAATGTTTTTATAATACAAGTTTGGGGTGATTTTTATTAGCTAATGATTAAAATTTATGGGTTTGTTAGTCATTATCTTTAGACACAGAAATATTGAAAGAGTTTGACATTCGATTTCTTCAAAGACGTTACGTAAATGATAAAAAACGTGTTGTTCTTTTTGCTTTCGAATCTACTGAGATTAAAATTTTGTAAAAATTGGGGTTTATAGAAGTTTTTCTAGACCACTTTACATGAAAATTGAAGAGATGACAAGGTCTACAATATTTTGGAGATGCGGAATGGTCTCTACTTTACTCGAGTTTTTATTTTTAAGAGATGT